CACGCCAGGGGACAGGCAGCCGGGGAAGCCCAGCAGGGGGTGTGCACAGGGCGACAGGCTCCGAGGGTTGGGGGGGGGGATCTCACCCCGTCCCCACTCCCACCCTCAGCAAACTCTCCACACAGGACACGCACACCCCGGGAAGTGGGGAGCCCAGGGAGGAGCACAGCGTGGTCTCCAGGCCCTTCCTGTGCACAGCGGAAACTCCCGTGGGACAGCTGGGGGACCACAGACCAGCTAGGGTTCCGGGGGTCTGCAGTGGAAGGACACCCATGCTGCAGCACAGAGTAGTGCTGTGGGAAACCCTGCGCTAACTCCATGGCACGGCAGTAATGCACTGCTCCAGAGAGGCCGGGTCCCACGTGGTGGCCGGGGTTCGAATCCCCGACCCGACAGCCTGACACATGCCAGGTACGCAAGAGCCCAGGGCCCGACGGGCTGAGGGAAGGGACCGTGGCACGACTAGGCCCTGTGAGGGGTCCTCTCTCTCTCACACATACATACACACACGCTTTATCAAAAATTAAAAAAAAAAAAAAATTAAGAGAAAAAAATAAAAGGAACGACTACTCTGAAGCCAGACTGCCAGGTCTGAAACCTAGCTCTGCTACTTCTCTGCGAGCTACGCGACTTCACTTGTGACACGGGGAGGAGCCGCCCCAGGGCTGCCGCAGGACGGTGCGTGGTCCCTGGGAAGCGCGCAGAGTGCCGGCCTGCAGCGAGAGCTTAGTAAGCGCTAGTTTGACATACAGAGAGACTGCGTGGGACAGTGACAAAACACACATTTGTTTTTCAAGTATACGAGAAACATTTACCAAAATTCAATCATATGCTAGGCCATAGGGCCTGGATCAAATTTGAAAAGCCTAGATTTAGAGTTTGTAGTCTGACCACACGGAATTCGGCCAGGAATCAGTAAGAAAAAGATTATTAGAAAAGTCTCACCTGCTTAGAAATTTAATCATTGTAATTCTAAATAGTTCTTAAGTCAAAGAAGAAAACGTAACAAAAGTTTAAAAATAGTTTGAACTGAATGCTAACTAAAATGGACATATCAAAATACCAGATGCAGCTAAAGCAGGGCTTTGAGGAAGATGTGTAGCTTTAAGTACATCCACGGTCATGCACCATTTAAGAAATGAACTATTTGGTGACTTTTGTCCTTGTGGCAGACATCACAGAGTGCACTTACACAGACCCACATGGCACAGCCTGCAATACACCGGGCTTTATGGTACCACCTATTTCAACCTTTAGGGGTAAACCCTGCGGTATATACGGTCCACTGCTGGCCAACACGTTCTTGTATGGAACGTGACTAAATCAGAAATGAAAACGGCTCTAAATGGATGAGCTCAGAAGCTCCTGTTTCAAAAAGCTGAAAGAGCAACAAATAAAATCCCAAGTATAAAAAAGGAAACAAAGAATAGAGCACTGGTTAAGAGAGCTAGATGGCACATGGCCGACCGTGGTTCAAATCCCAGTCCCAGCAGCTTGAAAACCATGCCGTAATGTACGTGCACGCCCCGAACCCTGATGGGATGGGGAAATGGAGGGAAAAGGATTGTGTCCTGGCCACACCCCACTGGGGTAGAGGGGTGCTTTCTCCCTCCCTCTCTCTCTATCTCTGGTGAGTATACATGCCCTACGGCAATAAAAATCAAATAGCGGGCCAGCAAGTGGCATGGTAGTTAAGAAGGCACTGGATTCCACACGGTCAAGCACAGTTCAAGCCCGGATTCAGCAGCTTTAAAATCACACCAGGCACATGTGCAGATGTGCCCAAAATCCCAAGAGGAGAATAGAGAAGGGACTACAGTGTGGCCATGCCCCAAGGGGGGGTGATTTCTCACTCTCTCTCTTCTTGGCAAGCATGTGTACCCTATAATAAAACTAAAAATAAACGAACTAGATCACCAATTCCTAAAATGTCCTGTCTCCAACAGGGGGACCTGCGGGGGACCTCCGAGCCCTGGGAGCCAAGGCCGGGACTCACCATCCTCCTCCGTCTGAAAGGTGACCTCCTTGCCCTCCTTGCGCCCCTCGGGGTTCGTGAGGACAAGCCTCACGTGCACGCTCCGGAAGGGCAGCAGGTTCTTGATGGTGTAGCGGCTGACGCCCCGCTCCACGTCCGCACACGCCCGCACGGTCTGGTTGTGGCTGCGGCCCGGGGTGTAGTGGTAGCACAGGGACACGGTGTAGGTGTGGCACCGCGTCACGTTGTAGCCCAGTGGCTCCCACTGCAGGCTCAGCTGGCGGGCCTGGATCTCCGCAAAAGCCAGGCCTTTGGGGGCCCGCATGGGCTCTGGGGAATCCGGAGCAGAGAGAAGGCAGAGGGAATGGGGTGGGAGGCAGAGACAGGGAGAGAGCTTCAGTCAGACATCTGAAATCACTCCCCCTAGGCCCCGAGAGCTCGAGGGACCCCGAGAACATGGAACGGGGCGGGAGGCAGAGACAGGGAGAGAGTGTGTGCACTGGAGTCGTCTCAGGCCACGTGAATCCTGGCTCTGCCGCCTGCAGCTGGCACCCACTGGCTGCATCGCTCGGCCTCTCTGAGCCTCAGTTCCCTCAACTGCACCTGGGATCTGGGATCGTAAGGGGCGTGTCTGGAGTTACTGAGGGTTACAGTAACCAGAGCTAGTACAGGTCCTTACTGACGTTGGCTGTAATTGTTTAATAGCAGCTCACCCCATTCAAGGCCGCCCTGCGCTACCACAGGCCACTCTATGTCTATCTACTGCGGTGTTTTTCTTAATTCATTAACCCCAAACTTGGTCTGAAACAGTTTATGCTAATATGATATAATAATATACAGAAATCAGGATAATAGGAGAAATGAAAGCCAAATAGTTCAATAAAACCCGAGAATATTAGGGAAACAGCAAAAGACGGGGGTCTAAAGATAAGGTTCAAATTCAGTGGTGAGCTCCCTGGCTGTGAAAGCAAAAAGGGAAACACAATCGGCTAAACATTATTAATAATAATAGCAGTTGACACTTAGTGGGGGCTCTGGATATGATAGGCATTGCTCTAGAGGCTTTGAAATACTTTGCTTCATTTATCCTCACTGCAACACAATGAGGCAGCCACTATTAACCTTTCATACAGATAATGGGAACAGAAGCACAGATTAAGTAACTTGCCCACAGTCAGACAGAAGGGGTAAAGCGGGGACCCAATCCTGGACAGGCCAGTTCCAGAATTCATGCTCTGCCTTGCCATGAGCCCCATGCCGAGAGAGAGAGAGAGAGAGAGAGCGCCACCCTAGCAGGATGGTAGCATGGAGGCTTCGTGGTGTCTCGTGGACTCCGGGGACCACAGGGCTGTCTCCATCTTACAAATAAAGAAGCAGGCTTCTGCCGAGAAGCCAGGAAGGAGCCCAGGGCTCGGCCCAGGCCTGCGTCCGCCTGGAGCAGCTGTGTGATCATACGTAAATCTCGGCCTCAATTTCCTCATCTGGAAAATGAAGGGAGGAGCCAGGGCGGCCCCCCTCGTCCTCTTCCCCACACCGGTTCTGTGAGACACCATCTCCCCACTCCTGGCTTCTGTGGGCCCCGTCCAGCATTCGCAGTTCTCGGGTCTCAGGCCCCCGAAAAACAGGTTAACAAGTGCGGCGGCTCGACCTGCGAAGATGACGTTGCCGTCGCTGGCTCCAACCGCCTCCAGTGACGATGCGGAGAAGTCACAGCGAGGCTGCCCCACCGCGGGGCAAGCGCTGGCCCAGCCCTAGGCCATGGCACACAGGAGGGGCTGGGGACCCAGGGCTGGGGCTGGAGGGAGCCGCGGCGTCGGGAGCTGCTAGGGTGTGTCTGCGTCTGCCCCTCTGTCTCTCTCACTCAGAATAAACATTTTTAAAATGCTGCAATACTCCCCTGCTCCTGGAGGAGGCGCTCTGGCCAGACCCAGTACACCCCGGTGCCCAGCCTGTGTGCTGCCCTTAGTTCCCGACCACGGAAGGCTGGCATCGGCCTCCTCAACTGGGAAGTGGAGAGCACTCGCCTGGCAGTGTGTCGAAGGTGTGCACAATGGTGTGAGCAACGGTGTGTGTGATGGTGTGCACAACAGTGTGTGCGATGGTGTCTGTGGGTTGTGTTTGATGGTATATGTGATGGTGTGTGTGGTGGTGTGCAATGGTGTGCATGACAGTGTGCGAGCTGCGGGCTGTGTGTGATGGTGTGTGCGATGGTGTGCAATGGTGTGCATGACGGTGTGCACGACGGTGTGCGGAGCTGCGGGCTGTGCATGATGGTGTGTGCCGTGGTGTGTAATGGTGTGCACAACGGTGTGCACGATGGTGTGTGCGAGCTGTGGGCTGTGTGTGATGGTGTGCGAAGTGTGCACGACGGCGTGCCCAACAGTGTGACAGTGTGTGCAATGGTGTGCATGAGCTGCAGCTGTGCATGATGGTGTGCACGACGGTGTGCAGAGCTGCGGGCTGTGCGTGACGGTGTGTGCAATGGTGTATGTGACAGTGTGCGTGACGGTGTGAGGAGCTGTGGGCTGTGCGTGACGGTGTGTGCAATGCTGTGTATGACAGTGTGCATGACGATGTGCGGAGCTGCGGGCTGTGCGTGATGGTGTGTGCAATGCTGTGTGTGACAGTGTGCGTGACGGTGTGCGGAGCTGCGGGCTGTGCGTGATGATGTGTGCAATGCTGTGTATGACAGTGTGCGTGACGGTGTGCGGAGCTGCGGGCTGTGCGTGATGGTGTGTGCAATGGTGTGTGTGACAGTGTGCGTGACGGGGTGCGGAGCTGCGGGCTGTGTGTGACAGTGTGTGCAATGCTGTGTGTGACAGTGTGCGTGATGGTGTGCGGAGCTGTGGGCTGTGCATGACGGTGTGTGCAATGGTGTGTATGATAGTGTGTGTGACGGTGTGCAGAGAGAGCTGCGGGCTGTGCGTGATGGTGTGTGCAATGGTGTGTGTGACAGTGTGCGTGACGGTGTGCGGAGCTGTGGGCTGTGCGTGACGGTGTGTGCAATGCTGTGTGTGACAGTGTGCGTGACGGTGTGCGGAGCTGCGGGCTGTGCGTGACGGTGTGTGCAATGCTGTGTGTGACAGTGTGCGTGACGGTGTGCGGAGCTGCAGGCTGTGCGTGACGGTGTGCGTGAGCTGCGGGCCAGGTGCGTCAGGGACCCAAGCTGTGCAGAGCGCGAGGCCAAGGTCTGGGCAGTGGCGACGCTCCGCACGAGCACTCTGAGCCGCCTGTCGGCCTTTCTGTAAGCCCCGATCAGGACCTCAGTCAGCGCTCCAGAGGAAGACTGGAACAAACACAGAGCCACGCTTCGGGGCATCGGCTCTTTACGAGGACTGAGCTCGGGAGCAGCGGTCCGCAGCCTGAGAATGCCCAGTGGCTTCTACAGTCGTGAGGAGCCCAGCTCGGCGCCCCGCCACGCCATGAGGTGGCCACTGCGTGCACCCAGGCGGGGTGTGCAGTGTGCACAGTGGGCCTGAAAACTAGAACGGCGGGGTGAGATGTTAGCTTTACGGTGCTTTTAATGCCACTTTTCACAGTAAACAGCGTTGGGAGGCGAGTGCGTGGGGACGATGACAACACAGTGGGCCAGGGTGCCCAGCAAGGAGGGGGTCACCCAGGGGAGCACGTGGTTGTGAAGAGCAGGGCAAGGTGCTTGGGCTCCGTGGGCCTGCTTCGCCCGGGCTCCTGTCCTGGCTGGCCTCGGAAGGGGTCAGCAGAGTTGGCACAAAGTCCACATTTACCCCACGGTAGCGGTGGCTGCTGTCATGGGTTTTTTGTCTTTGTTTTTATTATTTATTACTATTATTATGTTTTATTTTGACCAGAGAGAGACATGAGAGAGCAAGCCACCAGGTCCAGGACTTGAACCAGGGTCAGCCATGTGGGAATCTGGCACCTCAATCACCATGCCACCAGCCGGCCCCTCCGTGGCTTTGTTAAAAACACTGGATTGGGGCCGGCAGGTGGTGTGGAGCTAGAGCACTGGACTCCCACATGGCTGACCGTGGTTCAAGTCTCAGACCTAGTGGCTTGCTTTCCCTCTCAGGTTCTCTCTCATGAGTGCATGTGACTTGTGGCAAATTTTTAAAATAACAATAATGATGATAAATAAAATGAAATAAATAATTCTTTAAAAAAAAAGAAAATGGGAATGCAAGCCAACTGCGAGAAAACATCTGCGACTTGTACATCTGACAAAGCCTGCTTCTCAGGACGTGGAAAGCTTCGGGTCCCAGCCCAGCCGCAGACAGCCGGTGCTGGGCCAGCGGCGTGTTTGCAGTCCTGACTGGCTGGGAGGCCGGGCAGGAGGACCCGATGTGGGAGACCCTGTCAAAAAACAATTACCCTTGGGAACCAGCAGTTAGCATAACGGCTATGTCGCTGGACTCTCACATAGTCGACCGCAGTTCACATCCCGGACCCGGTGGCTTAAAATTCACGCCGGGCACGTGTGCGTGCGTGCGTGCCCAAGATCCCAAGAGGAGAATGGAGGAGAAGGGATCGCGGCGTGACCATCCCCCCTGGGAGGTGATTTCTCGCTTTCTGTCTCTATGTCTCTTTCTGTCTGTCCGGCGAGCGCACACACCCTATAGCAAAAACCTCTCAAAAAAAAAAAAAATTACCCTTGGGGCCAGCAGGTGGCATGGTGGCCTGACTCCCACATGTTCAACTGCAGTTCGAGTCCCAGGCCCAGTGGCTGAGACTCACACTGGACACGTGAGCGTGTGTGCCCAAAATCCCAAGAGGAAGAGGGAAGAGATGGTCGTGCCATGGCCTCCCCTATGGGGACATTTCTCCTTTTCCTTCCCCGTCTCCCTGGCAAGTGCAGGCACCCTGCGGCAAAAAACTACAAATAAAAGTAATAATCAGTGAATCTCTCTCTCATGAATAAATAAGCTTCTTTTAAAAAGAAAACATCGTATCTCTAAACAACTGGACTAGAAATCAGGAGATTGGGTCAGCCCTGGTGGCTGAAGGAGCCAAAGCCCATGGCTGACCATGCAGTTCGAGTCCTGGACCTGGCAGCTTAGAAAACACACTGGGGGGCCAGCAGGTGGTGTGGTGGTTAAGGTGCTGGACTCCCACATGGCAGACTGCAGTTCGAGTCCTGGACCTGGCAGCTTGCTTTCTCACGCCGCCCACCTCCAGGCTCTGTCCCTCTCTAGTCAAATTAAAATAAATAAGTTAAATAAAATAGTCCTAAAAAAAAAAAGAAAGAAAGAAAAAGAAAAAGAAAAGAAAAGAAAACACACTGGGGTGGGTATGTGCCCCAAATCCCAACAGGGTGGAGAGCCGGGAAGGGAGTGGGCATGGCCACACCCACTGGG